TTAACCTGGACATCCAACCAACTATGTAAGCCGATCCATCATTGAACGACCATTGGATTCACGGGTAGGCCGGAGTTATAGCATTTGAACTTCCGTGGTCACATGAGAGTTTTTATTCCTTCTTGGATTTAAATCTGAGATCTCCAAATACTTGTGATATTTAGAGTTCAAGCTCAAAACAATCATACATCACCGTTGTGATCGGAACTGATTTTTATGTCTGCTTTTTATACTTGTAAATACATAAAAGCAATTGTATTTAAAAAACTTTAATACCGGAAAAATCGGGTTACATAAAATACTTGTATTTAAAAAAATTAATTATATAAAATAATCATGAGTTTTAATACGTTTTGATATTATAAAAATAATAAAATATAAAAATAATGACATTAAATAATTTCCATCCAAGTAATTAAGTAATCACACGTCAACATTAATTGTCAAAAGAAGAATCTTCACTTAGAAAAATTATCACCACAAAATATATAGGTTTTAAAATTTATTAATATTTATATTCTTGTACCTATGGTTTGTCAAAAGTAACACTTTTCGTCCTTATAGTTTTGAAATTACATAATCACCCTCATGGTTTACAAAAAACTTCTTTAGTCCCTCTTTTTAGTGGCTAATAAAAAATTCGTTAAATGAGAGACATTTTAGTTCCTTTATTGATTTCTTTTTTATATTTTACCCAATCAAAACCATATGGACCAAGATCATAAAATCGATTTGATTTAGCAAAAAGACGAAAAAATATAGATAAAAAAACGAAAATGACCTTTATTTAACGAAAATGTTAACGTTCGTTAACACGAGGTATCAAATTCAGACGTTTTTACAAATTAGAATGATTATCTTGTAATTTTAAAATTATAGAGATGAAAATGTTAACTTTTGACAAACTATAAGGACCAAATTTGTAGTTTAGTGATTTTATTGTTTTTTTAAGTGCAAGTGATTGGAAAAGTATAAACAATGTCAACATTGTTGAATTAACACGTCGACTTGATATTCTTTTATCATGTATGACGATGTTAATTTAGTGAAATGGATGTTTACATAAATAATATAAAAACAAAGGAAATGTTCAAACGAGAAGATAACTGATTTACGCAAATACGAGAATATTTGTAAGTTTATTATACTGTTTTAAGTCACAGATTTAAAAAGACTGAAAGAGCAGTAAAATATTAAATAAGCAAAAAGCATGCAGGGGTAAATGGAAAAAAGAAACTGTAAATCACATAATGAACAGACAGAGCCGATGATTGTGGATGTGATCATCGTTGGTTTTTCGATTTATCACATCATTGTCATAGCAAAATCGTATCATAAATGTTTTCGATTGATCAAAATATCATTATCGACAATGGAGGCATCGGCATAAGAAGTCCTCGGTGATACTAACGATCTTTAGAAGATAAAGACAAATATGAGTCAACAGAAAATTGTTGATAAACACTAATTTACTTTCCTTTTTTCTGATTTCTATTATGGGTTAATTAATTTGGAGGTTCAGAAGTGTTTTTGCATTTTCATAAAACCAAAGATGGTCTCCTTTGAACTTGCATCTATACTATAGTATAAGACATTTGACAAAAACTCTTAAAAATCATTTTTATGTATAAAATATTGTTTCTTAATGCATATTACTTAAAATTTAAGATTACAAGTAAATTATGTGTAAGTACAACTTATTAAAGCTCTATTTTGAATTCGTATAACTAACTGCAGATAAACATAATAAAATACAAGATAAATATCTTATTTTAAATATAAAAAGTTTAAAATACAATTAGAATAATCATCGAGTTCTAACGGAATACTTAACTATTATCTCTATAAAATGTTATATTATTAAATCAAAAATAAATTATTTCATTATTAAACTTAAATTAAATTATAAATAAATTAAAAAAATTACATAAAAAATGAGAAATTTTCAATAGTTGATTTGATATTAACATTAATATTTTTTTTTCAAATTTATATTTTTTCAAAAATAAAATCATTATTGTTTTCTTAAAAACACATAAAATCGTATTATAACATCGACAAAGACAAAAAATAAAATTAAACATTAAATCGAGATGTGTCTTGATGTATTGTGCGAATGCTCTTCTAGTATAACAATAACTGTTTCATTTTATTTTGTCAAAACATTTTTAGATTATGTAAGAAATACAAAATATAAAAAAAACCCCAAAACCAAACGGACCCAGTAATAACATGCAAAGATATGATCTAAATCTAATTATCTGAAAAATCTGTCTATATGACCTTTATTTCTACGAAATGGAAAAAGTTATGTACAAAAGACAAAAATAATACGACTTTCGTTGACAATTATATGTCTTGCAATAAGGGAATAAATAAAGTCATTTTGGTTATTGTCAAACACGAAAGTGTTTTTGCTACGACTTAAAACAAAGATGATAGCGTCCAACGAAATCGAAAATAAGTATCAAGACAAGTGGACACATAATTGATCTTGACGTAGATATGTGTGAGGAGCAATTTGCTCCTAACATGCATGATCGGTTCGAATCACGTTTTAGTTTCTTCTCATTAAGTTAGAAGTCGGTGGTAGAATCAGTACGTGCTTCATTTATTAAAACCGTAATATAGCTTGGGGCTTGTCAACTTTTGATGACCAAGCTTGTGTCTCTATAATTAGGGTGTAAACGAGTCGAGCTTTTAACAAGCTACTCAAACTCAAGCTTAATAATTCTCGAGCTCGAGTTGATCTCGAACACAAAATAGAATTCGTTCAACTTAAAGAGTCGAGCTTCATAAGAGTCAATGTTCAACATATCTCGTTCAAAAGCTCAATTAAAGTTTTCGAGTCGAACTGAACTGAGCCATTCAAGTATATATGTTTTTGAACCAAACATGCTCATTTGTTCATAAATAATACGATAAAAAATATAAAAACTATCAAACCTCGAGCCAATAAACGAGTTAATCGATCGTGAGTACGAGCCCATAGACGAGCATCAGGCTCGATAAAAAACAATGAGCTCGAGCCTGTTATAGTTTTTTTTGAGGTGAGCTCGAATAACCTACTATTCGGCTTGGCTCGACTTGTTTACATCCCTATCTATAACATCAACAACCATGGAAAAGTCATACTCGAAGGAGTTCCAATATGAGATATGAAACATGCCTCCTAAAATTTCTATGGCCACATTATGCATGTTTTAACGTTAGTTAATTATTTTGAACTGGATATTGTTTTAAGCTTTTATTCTTAGTTGTTTTGACGGTTCCGATTCTGATTTTCAAAGAATCTTAAAATAATCATGTTTAATTGAGTTTTATACGTTAATGTCTCATTTTACGATATTTTTGTTATTTTAATTTGTAAAACTCTTAATATAAAATGACTTTAAAATGTATCTGATAGATAATATATTCAGTCCATTATAAAGCAACTTTCATTTCCCTCCTTAGAATCTTATATATATATATATATATAATCTTGATACAAAGTGTAACTAAAAAGAATGAAATGTGAAAGGAAATTAGGCAAAGTTAGATGGCAGATTCTGCAGTATTTTCCTTCCCTAACTATCATATGCAATTGTTGTTTTTTATTATTCAATTAAAAATTGCATGAAAAAGTAATATATTTTAACTTGATTTCTATATGAGTTAACGTACTTTTAGAACTTCCATTTTGGTACCTAGGATGCAAAGTTTTAAACATTAAGTACCCGGATAACTGGTTGAAGCATTAACCGGTTAACATGCTGATGTAACGAATGATGTGGTATCCAACTCAGTATTATTTCCTGACCTGGTTAGTGACATAGATTTTTTCTAATCTAAAGTTAGTATTTTCTTAATCTAAAATTAGTCTTCAACTGGTTACATAAATACTTAAATGTTTAAATGAAAAACCCAATTTTAAATAAAAAAGATTAAATTGATTTTGAACGCAACAACATTCCTAAGGCCCAATCTATATTATGTTTATAACTACCAAAGCGCATTGACCCACTCCATACTTTCCTTGACCCATTTTGTTGAACATTGTAAGAAAATTAAAATTTAAAAAAAAAATTATATTTAATTATAACTTCTAAGAGTTTTTCTATTTTAAATATTATAACATTAATTATATTATTAAAATATTTTATAAATTTAATAAAATATTATTTTTTATAAATATTTAAGATTACGATTTTTTTATTGGTGGAAATATAATAAAAAATGTTTCTTTATCATGGTAATCAATGGTGCTTAGAACATCTCCGACATATTTTTTAAAATGAAGATTTTGGAAATTTTTGTGCCAATGGATTTTTCAAAAACTTGTCCAAAATGAAGAAAGTAGGGGCGATAATGGAATTTTTCCAAATTTGGAGAACTCTGCGTTTTGGTTAACTTTAACATTTGATTCTTCATTTTGGAGAATCTCTTGGAACATAAACTTCTACAAATCTTTATTTTGAAAAATCAGTTGGAGATGCTCTGGTTGTATACTACTTCCTTACCTGGTCAAAGATGTTGCTTACCAAACCTCTGTTACTGGTCCATGATGTCAACCGAGATGATAACCAAGTGAGCTAAGAGAGGGGCTCGTGATTAATGCAATAATGCTGACTCAGATTGCACTTTTACTCGGTTAATACTTACCAATTTATGTTGGTAAATAACTCCTTAAAAATAAATAAACCTGTGGTGTAAGAAGACAAAGGCAGAATTAGTTACTTGGTTGTCAAGAGTCGAGTATTAACCACAAGGGTGGTGCTTGATTGGTTTGAGCTTGGCTCCAAAGGTAAAAAGTATCGGGAGGTCCCAGGTTCAAATCCAAAGAGGAATAATAATCCCTTTGTGGCCATGGATGTTCAAATGCGGTGACTTCGCGCTATCTGCAAAACAAGTGGCCACTCTGGGATTAGTCGGCTCGCATAGCGAGTTGGATATCCGGGTTAATAAAAAAAGAGTTTAAGTATTCTGATAAAGCCAAGGCTTTAGGTATTCCAAGAGATTCAACTGTTCTAGAAGCCATAGAGAAGCTCAGTTACAACTATTTTTTTAACCTAGGCGTCCGGGTCAGCTTGACACACTTCGACTAACCCTGAGGCTTTAGAAAACAGCCAACAAAATATCCAGTGGACTTACAACTATTCTCATTAGTGAAAGCACGGTACAAGCCGATTGATACGCAAACCTAATGAGCGATGCAACCATTCCAACAAATCTTTGAACCGGATATATACCACACACCGAATCTTTAAAATTTCATAACGCCTGCACCTGGTGGCGGGTGCTTCTACCGAATATTGCATCAACGTTACAAGCCTCTTCCTCGATTATATACATAAGATTTCGCAGCATAGATGTAGATCACAAAAGCCCCCGCACTAATTCCCGCAAGAAGATAGTAAAAATAATCAACATGGCTTCGATTCAAGTTATCCGATATCCAACCGCCTTCACCATTTCGACCTGTGGTTTTCTCGACAATTGAGATGAGAAAGCTGCTCAGAAAGTTGCCGATCCCCATGGCACTGAGGTAAAGCGCTAGACCGATGCTCCTGAGTTCGTTTGGCACTTGGTCATAAAAGAATTCTTGCATACCCACGACTGTAAAAACTTCAGCAGATCCAGCCAAGAGATATTGAGGTAATAACCACCATATCTTCATTGGGACCATTGCGGCCGGATCATCTACTAACCCATACTCATAAGCAATTTTGAGTCTTTTTGTCTCAACGAGCGCTGAAACCACCATTAAGACGATAGATATGAAGATGCCGGTTCCAATTCTCTGAAGCATTGTTATGCCAAATGGTTTTCTTGTAATAGCTCTAGTAAGAGGAACCAAGATGGTGTCATAGATGGGAATGAGGATGATAATAGAGAGGCCGATGAAAGATTGTAGTGTAGCAGCTGGAATCTCGAAACTTGATCCAATCGACCTGTTCATGGTAGCTCCTTGTTTGGTAAATAGAGTGGAAGTTTGAGAAAATACAGTTGCATAAGCTAAACAGCTCGCCCATATTGGGACTAGTCTAAGAACTGCCTTCGCTTCTTCTACCTCACTGATGCTACAGATAGTTCCATCTTCACTTGATCCATCAGGTGAAAGCAAGGCTTTGTTGAGAAATCTGAGTGAGCCAATATCAAAAAGATGTTAGGATATCCTGTACCACTACAACAAAATTGACTTTATTGGACTCCTAGAATGTCTAAGCGTCCTAATAGAATACTTTATAGAACATAAGTTTATAGGAAACCAAACTATAAATCGTCTTATCTAAAGCGTTACAGTAGGTTTATAGGACGCTTTTAGGCGTTTTAAAAAGCTCTTTAGGACGCTGTTTAGCCATCTTTTTATAGGACATTTGTGTTTATAGGACACTTTTTCGAACAATGTCGTATAAAATAGCTAATACGACACTTTATTTTAAAAACGTCACAAGGTACTTGTTAAAACGCCTAAAAACGTCCTATAAACTTATAACAACACTTTTAGATAGGATACTTTTTGGTTTGATCCTATAAACTCAAGTCCTGTAAAGTATTTTAATATTATAAACTTAAGTCCTATGAAATATTTTATAGAAGGCTTAGACATTTTAGACGTTTTATAAAGCCAATTTTGTTGTAGTGTGTATCCCATCAGATGACTGGCGATGAAGCAGTCTCCGTAGAGCATGTAGGACCACTAGATAGACTGATCAGTGAGTGTATGTGGAAAATCCTCTATTTTAAGCACTTACATTTTACGTGGATTTCAGAATACATGGTTCTATTAACTACAACAAAATCAGTTTTATAGAACGCCAAACATGTCTAAATGTCCTAACAGACTACTTTATAGGACTTAATTTTAGAGGGCTAGATGTAACAGTGCAATAAAGATGATAGAATTTTTTTTGGGTGTCCTAACAAGTTTTATAGGACCCTTTTAAAATAAGGTGTCCTCCTCGTTTTTTTATATGACATCATTTGAAAAAGTGTCTATTAAGAACAAATAACCTACATAAAAAATGTGTTCACACTTTACAGGACAATTCTCAAAAGCGTCATATAAAAAATATTAATAGCACACTTTATTTAAGAAATATCCTAAAAAGCATGTCAGGATATCCAAATACATCCTAACATCCTATCGTAAAACCTTTATATGGATTGTACAGTTGTTTGGTCGTATAAATTCAAGTCTATAAAGTTGTCTATTAGAACATTTAAAACATATTTTACGTCCTATAAAACCAATTTTTGTTTTAGTGATTTACCCTTACCTGAATTGCTGAGAACCCTGATGAGGCAAGTTTCCATAAGCCTGCGCTTCCGCAGATATTGCTGAAGGTGTTGTTCTCCAATTCCGAGCTGCTTCAACAAACACCTGGCCGATCCTGATGAAAGCACTTTTATCCTCCATTTTCTCTCCAAACCGGTAAGTCGTTGTTCCAAGCAAGAATATTATCAGGGAAAAACACATGATGATGCAAGGGATCCCAAAGCCAAGACCCCAACTAAGGTTGTCTTGAATGTAGCTAAGAACAAAGATCCCAACTGTAGGGCCAACACACATTCCAAAATACCACCAATTGAAGAATGAGCTTTTCGCTCTGCATTCATCTGGATCGTTTGCATCAAACTGGTCAGCTCCAAATGCCTGAACACAAGGCTTGTGCCCACCTTGAGCAAAGGCCACAAGATAGAGCGAAATGAAGAACAGGATAACTTGGAGCTGAGGAGAACAAGATGAGGCACCCCCATCACTTTCACAATCAGAAGGAAGCAAAGTTGAAAGGGCCAACAATGCAAGAGCCTGTCAATAAAATTCAATACAGATTACATATAACTAGGGGGATAAATAGATAGAATAGCAGCAATTGGTGTTGGGTATTTGGCTTGTCCCACATAGACCCAATCTTAAGATTTCAAGTGCCTTATATTACCAAGGCCATACCTAGAGTCAAAATGCCTAACCATCTAGTTGGGTTCCATACATATTAAATATCAAGAGGGCCTTGGGCCTTGGGTCTCTTGATATCGTTCACGAGATGGCTCGGTGCCAGGAGGTGTGCGRCCGGGACTCGGCTCTGTCCGACGGTTATCGTCGGTTACCCGACAGTTGAGGTCTCTACGGTGCACAATATATATTTCCTCCATTTCTCGTTTTTAACATACGAAAAAAAAAATACAGAAAATTTCTAGGGTTTGGGCGCATCAGTTCTTATCGAAATCATCAGGGAGATAGTCGATTCGTCGGGTTCAAGGATCTTCTTGAACGGATTGTTGTATCCTATAGATAGACGTCCAATTCACCGGACGAATTTCTGTCTAAGGACACTGCTCCAGCAGGCCTCAATCTACACCTGTTCTTCGTTTCGATCATATCTTCATAATCATGTGAGTTCACTAATTTCGTTGCTGTTTTATATATGCTGATTGTATACATATAAGGCTATGTTACTGCTTTGTTCAATATCGTAACAAACATCAAATTTTTGTATTCTGGATCTAAGTCATAACAATTGGCATCTTTCTAGCCTGCATATTCGTGGATGTACACCCTGCACAAGAATTTGAAACTTGATACGTTCATGTCTATTATTTGTAATTTACTTTTCTCAAAGGTCAGTCCAATCTCATTTCAACAATTTCCATGGCCGGCGATACCAACAGAGGTGAAATCGATAGTGATAGCAACAACCAGCGATAATCGAGAGGTTAACTTATTGATTTCTATTGGTTTGATCTAATTACAGTTCCCGCTAACCGTAAGAGAAGGAGACACGGTTCTCTATTACGATTCAAAGCCGAGTTAATCATAAACGATGAGTTTCGAGACGATCACGAGTTACACAAAAAGTCCTGACACGAGGTAAAATCATTCAAAATTAAGATGTCAAAATGGCAAACCAGGATATAGAGCAGAGTAGCAAATATAATTGTTAGGTATCGACCGAGAAAAGCATCAGCAATGAACGCGCCAACGAGTGGAAGAAGCGACGCCGTTCCAGTCCAGGCGTTCACGTTCTCGGCCGCCGTTGCCGTCGACAGCCCCAAGGATCCTGTCAAGTATGTGATCAAATTTGAACTGACGCCGTAGTACGCAAACCTCTCCGCCACCTCAACACCTGCGTAAAACATCAAAATAAACTTGAAAAGCTCTCACTAATTAAAGATCGAGTCTAAGAGGCTTAACGTTACCGATAATAAAATATGATGATCGCCAGAAACCGGATTTGGATCTCAGGACTGGACGGCCTCTGTAATCAACAGCGCCGTCGACGAAATGGTTGAGCAGCGGAGTGTTGACTCCGGTGGTGGTGGTGGTGGCCGCGGTGGCGTCGACGTGGTCATCCATGTCATCGTCACGCAATTTAGACGTTTCCATTTTAATTATAGTGCGCACTCGTTGTCGCAATTTGGTTAGAATGACACTCCACTTATTATTTTTATTTTAAGCAAACTACTTTAATATTTTTTTTTATTAATATGGATGTCCAACTTCTCATACGAGCCGATTGATCACAGGATGATCACATGTTTTACAGATAGTTCGGAGTCACCATTCCGTAAATAAGCTAGCTTTTTTCTTGCAAATTATGACCTAAGAGGTTTCTGTTTACCTCTTAATAAGAGGCGAATCTTGTTTGACAAAAAAATCTGTCTTTTAATTGTTTTAAAATCATCTGAATTATTTTGTAACCAGGAGCCTCCTTAACCCTTCAACGCCTTAATTTCATTGTAAACAATTACTAGAGAATTATATTTCAATTTGCACTATATCATGAGAGCATCTTAATCATTCTGCACCAAACAATTCAACAATTACCAAACAACCCCTTAAGTATGAGAGATGAAAACAACAATAAGTTGTAGACCATAGAGATTAAAACAACAATAAATTGTAAACGATATAAATGAAAAACAAAATTTAAAAGAACACAATAATAAAAATAACAATTTTTAACAAACCACAATGACAAAATCGTCACTCGTGATTGAAATACCGCACTACTCCTTGGAGAAACCTGAAAAATTTGTCCTCTTGCTGGATTTTTGTGCTTCCGTTCCGTCTACTTGAATAATTTTATTGATGCGACTAACCATGCGTGAATCTTTTAACATTCATTTTCAACCACCAACTCACCCAGCGATGCAGTTGTGTAGACGGAATATAGTATTTCTTTTAGGGTATTATTCAAAATAACCATACTACATAGAGAAAGTGACAAAATAACCACAAGAGTGATGCCTGATTGGTTTAAGCTTGACTCCAAAGATTAAAAGTACCAGGATGTCACAAATTCAAATCCAAGGAGGAATAAAAATCTCCTTGTGACCACAAAGGTTTAAATGCGGTAACTCCGAACTATTTGCAAAGCAGGTGGTCGCCCTAAGATTAGTCGGCTCAAATAACGGGTTGAATATCCAGGTTAATAAAAAAAAATGACCATGTTTTTAAATATTTATCAAAATGACTTATAAATGTCATTTCGGGAACGGGAAATTGTGCTATTGAGTTCTTTTTACGAAGAAAGGGAGAAAAATGGAAGGAAATAAGGGGGAAAAGAAACAAAATGTCTTGTCCTCAAATATTTTTAGGAGGGAAAGGAAAGAAAACAAAATGAAATTAATACTGATTTTCCTTCCGGAACTTTCATATCTCGAGTTTCTTATGTCTCATTTTTATTATTTTTATCAGACGGTTGATGGGGAACTTTTAGGACTATTTTTTAAAGAAAACAGTTAAACATTATTTAGATAAAACCAAGGTTCTAAATAGTATAAGGTGTGACATAGTGATAAATTCAAGCCTCAAGGAGTCACGACGAGGATGTCTTCAAAACATGACTTATGACAACAAATCTCTATATCACATATTTAATTATATATACACATGTTTTTGATGATTACTCAATGAGCGAATGATATAAAATAATATATTAAATTAAAAGTAAGATACTAAAAAGGTAAAAATAAAAATAAATCAAATATAACGTTACAAAAAACACACATTGAACCATGACGTGGCGTTAGACACGAGTCTTGAATTACAGCATGCCACGACGGCTGCCATGGGGAAATTGACCAAAATAGTCAATCTTCCCAATCAAGTTCACTTTTTAGCAATTTTAAGAACTAAATTCCCATTTTCGTCGCAGTTTTCAAAAATATCTTACTCATTTTAATAAAGCCTATTTTCATATTAAAAAAAAAGAAAAAATCTTTGTGGAAATGGGGATCCTTACTTAAATCTACGTAAAGATTTTTCCAATCTTAAAATTGAGTTTACGCAAATGCATAAACTTCGGTTAAAATGAGAATTTAATTGAAAAAGTGGCTAAAAAATGAATTTGATTGAAGAAATTAAGTATTTTGATTGGTTTTCAATTTAGTTATTTTCTGAGTATGATCAAACCAACGAACAAGGGAATGATGACGAGGATGAGGCTGAAGAGATTCAATCGTATGGGAGTACCGCTGACCAAACATATATGGCTAGTTTAAGAGAAGAAATTGCGAATACAATTAATGCAAAATGAATATTGATTCTAGTTGTTATGAGACTTTGTTCGTGTTTTCTATTGTGTGTTGAATCAATTGACGTATTTCAATTGAATTTTGGAATGTGATAAAAATATATGGTAGTTCACAATGGTTTAAATGATTGGACATTTCAGTTAAATTTAATTGAAATGAATTGATTCAGATTCCAGATTTCATAAGTTTGTCGGTTTACAAAAACAAACAGTCTTATTGATTCAGATTTCAGACGTAAAAACAAATAGTCTGACTGATCCAGATTTCAGATTTCAGTACCACCTCTTAAAATTCAGAAGTGAATTCAAACTTCAGACTTCAACACTTCTTAAAAAACAAACGAGACCATAGATTTCTTTGTACTATAAACCCCAAACGGATTTTAGTTATAGCTATTTTCATATAGTACAAGCCATATACATGTAATAAGTCAAAGCAACCGTTACAACATTTACATCTTCCTGCATCTTTCAACTTCAAATTCAAACCAAATTTAGGTGCCGTTTACGTAACACTTACCCAAGTAAGCGCTTGCTATGTCAAATTATCTTATAGAATGGATATGACAAGAACCAAGAATCTTACCCGATAAGAGCAAATGCAAGAACCTAGAGTCTTACCCGGTAAGTGAGGGTGACGTCTCTTACCATGGTTAGCGTTTACTAGGTGAATTGTTGCATAGAATACCCTTTGGGTGGACTAAAACCTAACCCGGTAAATAAATGATAGTGTTGAATTTTTGCCTGTAAACACTTACTTGAGTAAGCGCTTGGTAAACCGGCCCTTACACAATTTCATAAAACCACATCACAAATTATATACATATGATTTCGCTGCATATATATACATCACAAATGCCCCCACGCTAATTCCAGCCAGAAGGTAGTAAAAATAATCGATATGGCCTTGATTCAAGTTATCCGATATCCAACCATCTTCACCGTTTCCAGCCGTGGTTTCCTTGACAATCGAGATCAGAAAACCGCTCAGAAAGCTACCGATCCCCAGCACACTGAGGTAAAGCGCTAGCCCGATGCTCTTGAGATCGCTCGGCACTTGGTCGTAGAAGAATTCTTGCATACCCACAATCGCAAACACGTCACCGGCTCCAGCCAACAGATACTGAGGCAATAACCACCATATCTTCATCGGGATAACCGCACCTGGATCATCGACTAATCCGTACTCACGAGCCGTTCTGAGTCGTTTTGTCTCGATATACCCTGCAACGACCATTGAAAGGATCGATATGAAGATGCCAGTTCCGATTCTTTGAAGCATTGTTATGCCGGAGGGTCTTCTGGTAGCGGCTCGGGTTAGAGGAACCAGAATGGTGTCGTAAATGGGAATGAGGATGATCACAGAGATGCCGATGAACGATTGGAGTGTGGCGGCTGGAATCTCGAAACTTGACCCAATTGATCGGTCCATGGTGGCTCCTTGTTTGGTACCTAAGGTCGAACATTGAGCGAATACGATTGCATATCCTAAACAGCTAGCCCATATTGGAACTAGTCTAAGAACCGACTTGGCTTCTTCAACCTCATCGAGGCTACAAACCGTTCCATCTTCTTGCGATCCATCAGGGGAAACCAAAGCTTTGTTGAGAAATCTACCATGAACCCAATATCAAAAACACAATAAGCTGTGTGGATTTCAGAAAATGGAGATCTATTTACTATTACCTGAATTGCTGAGAATCTTGATGAGGCAAGGTTCCACACTCTTGCTCTACCGCGGATATTGCTGAATGTGTAGTTCGCCAGTTGCGAGCTGCTTTAACAAACACCTGACCGATTCTGATAAAAGCACTTTTCTCCTCGGTTCTCTCTCCAAACCGATAAGTCATGGTTCCAATCAAGAATATGATCAGGGCAAAACCCATGATGATGCAAGGGATCCCAAAGCCTAGAGCCCAACTAAGGTTATCTTGAATGTAGCTAAGAACAAAGATCCCGACTGTAGGACCGACACACAGTCCAAAGTACCACCAGTTGAAGAATGAGCTTTTGGCTTTGCTTTCTTCTGGATTGTCTGAATCAAACTGGTCAGCCCCAAAAGCCTGAACGCATGGCTTGTGCCCGCCTTGGGCTAATGCAACAAGGTATAGCGAAATGAAAAACATAATAGCTTGGGGCTGAGCAGAACATGATGAGGCACCAACGGCAGTTTCACAGTCAGAATGAAGCAAAGTTGAAAGAGCCAGCAACCCAAGTGCCTTTTGATCGTTGTTCCAATCCAAGATAGATAGAATTAGAATGAAGCATAAACACTGTAACAAACATACCATCATACTAATCCACCTAAAATCACACAGAATAAAGAGGTGAAAATGGCTAACCAGTATATAGAGCAGAGAAGCAATTATAATCGTTAGGTATCGACCGAGAAAAGCATCAGCAACGAAAGCACCAACGAGGGGAAGAAGCGACGCCGTTCCAGACCACACATTGACATTCTCGGCCGCCGTAGCCGTCGATTGCCCCAGTGGTCCGGTCAAGTATGTGATCAAATTTGAACTGATTCCATGGTATGCAAATCTCTCCGCAACTTCCACGCCTGCATAAACCATCAAAATGCTCAAAACTTGTTACTAATCTGAGGATGTTTTTGAGAGGCTTAATGTTACCGATTATGAAATATGCAGATCGCCAGCAGCCGGATTTGGATCTGAGAACCGGACGACCTCTGTAGTCAACGGCCCCATGGAGGAAGTTGTTGAAGAGCGGAGACTGAACTCCGGTGGCGTTGTCATCCATGTCAACGTGAGAGCAGTTCAGACTTTCTTTTCGATGGTGGATGATTTAAATTTTATAGATTTCATAAACGTCATTGCCATTTGACGTGCAACAAGTCACCAATCACCAATAAGTGTTCAGTCCGATTTAGAAACCTCCCACCCCAAATCACCTTCCTAAAATAGAAGGTTGGACTAACACATGAATAACGTTAAATAGTTAATTAAACCAAGGGTGGTGCCTGATTGGTTTGAACTTGACTTCAAAGGTCAAAAGTATCAAGAAGTCTCGGGTTCAAATCCAAGGTAGAATAAAAATCCCCTTGTGGTCACGGAGGTCCAAATGCGATGACTTCGGGCTATCTACAAAACAGGTGGTCGTTCTGAGATTAGTCGACTCGCATAACAGGTTGAATATCAAAATTAATTAAAAAACGTTAAATAATTAAAAAATCATAAAAACCGAATAAAAAAAATACATAAATATGGATATCAAATTAATGAGAAGTATATTTGTATACGACGTACATGCACACGTGCACACACACTAGTAATGTGTCTTTGCAATGCACCGGGTGAGCAAGGTGCAAATTTTTTATCGTAAATGAAAAGTGAACAGTCCTCGTAGCTCAGTTGACAAAGGGGTTGAGTGACTTTACTCAAATACACAACAAGTTTAAGTTCGAATTTTACAAAAGACGTTTGAATCCCTCCGCTAAGCTTAGTCCCTAAATCAACTCTGAAATACTTCCTCACATGCAGTTCCTAGGGGTGAGTTCCGTATGGGCCAGGCGAAAATATAATATTTTTATAAGTCAAGAAAAAAAAATTAAAATAACCGTTCATTGAATACAAAATCGAAAACTTATGTCTGTATTGTTGCTTTATTCTATGATTCCTCTCTCTCGATTTCGTACTTTATGGTTTTAAATTGTCAATTGCCGCATATATATATATATATATATATATATATATATATATGGCTCAATAGTTATCTTATATTTGAACGTGTTTATTGTTTTTTAGAGTTTAAATATGAATTTTTAAAAAGTTATCCATACACAATAATAAGTTGTAAAATTCATTCAAAAGTCTTAAGGACACATGGTAAATGCTTTTATAATACTAGAAGAGTATTCGTGCAATGTATCGAGACATATCTTAATTAAATGTTTTGTTTTATTCTTTGTATATATCGATATAATACGGTTTTATGTGGTTAAAATAAAGCAATAATGTTTCTATTTTTGAATAAAATATAAATTCTAATTATCATAAAATTTTAAAAAGAGTATATGGATATTAGTATCAAATTAACTACTTAAAAGTTCTTGTTTTGTGTAATTTAATTAATTTAATTTAGGTTTAATAATATAATTTTTTATAAAGATAATAATTAAGTATGCTGTTAAAACTCAATGATTATTCTAGTTTTATTTTAGATATTTTATATTTAAAATGAGATGTTTGTCATGTATTTGATTATGTTTATCTGTAGTTAGTTATACGAATTCAAACATGAAGCTTTAATAAGTTGTATTTATGCACAATTTACTTGTAATATTGAATTTTAAGTAGTTAGCATCAATAAATAGTACTTTGTGCATAAAAAACAGTTTTTAAAAGTTTTTGTCAAATACTTTATAATATAATATAGATTAATTGTACATCAACGCAATATAATTGGATGTAAACCCCAAGAGCTCTAATCAAAATTCTCTTGATTTATTCCCTCACGAGGAATTGCCAAATTATTTGACTCTTCAACCATTTTAATATAAATGATTAGTCAATCAAATAATATATAGTAAATGGGTCGGTTTGAATATAAATGAATAGTCAATCAAATAATATATAGTAAATGGGTCGGTTTGAATATAAATGAATTGTTAGTTGTAGAATATTATTCTCGTCAGACTCAAACCTAACAAAAATAAATTATTTATTTTAAAAGACTAGAAAGATACTCGCGCAATGCAGCGAGATACATCTTGATTTTTATATTTCATTTTATTCTTTATCTCAATGTTATAGTATGATCTTATGTGGTTTTGAAAAAGCGATGATGTTTTTATTTTTGAATAAAATGTAAATTTAAAGATATCATAAAAATTTGTCAAAAATATATCAATATTAGTATCAAATTAAGTATTTAAAATTCATATTTTTTGTGTAATTTTTTAATTCAATTTTTTATTATAATTTGATTTATGTCGAAGTAATTTATATTTGGTTTAATAATATAATTTTCTTATAAAGATAATAATTAATTGTTTTGTTAGAACTTGATAATTATCCTAATTTATTTAGATTTTTTTTATATTTTTAAAATGAGATGTTTATCATCTATTTGATTATGTTTATCTGCAGTTAGTTATACGAATTTAAACATGAAACTTTAATAAGTTGTACTTATTCATAATTTACTTGTAATCTTGAATTTTAAGTAATATGCATCAATATGCAGCACTTCATGTATAAAAAATGTTTTTTAAGAGTTTTTGTCAAATGCTTTATAATATAATATAGATAAGATAGGGAAACTGTTGGAGCATTAAGAGAATAAAAAGTTGATTTTCTCTATTTTAAAAAAGTGCTCTAACATCTGTTATTTTAATTTTTAAGACTTTGAGAAATCATCAACATCATCTCATGAAATTAGTGCTTTTGGAACTCACTTAAATCTAGGATTATTTCTGCTCTTTTTTGCTATTGTCTGAATGCTTATTGGTTTGCCAAGAACACAAGGCAAGCAAATTTGGCATTCAGATGTATTATGTATTTGAGGGGTTTCATGATGCTTAGCCGTTTACAAAATATTTACCCGGTAAATACTTACCGGTAAAATTCAACACTATTAATTACTTATTGAGTAAGATTTTAGTTCATCAAACAGGAATCATATGCAACAATTTACCCTATAAACACTTACCATGGTAAGAGTTGTCGCTCTCACTTACCATGTAAGACTCTTAGTCCTTGTCTCGCTCTTACTTGATAAGATTCTTGGTCCTTACAACTTACTGGTCTTAGGGGAATCAGCCACCCAAGTGGCTTCTGGCATTATGTTTGAATATTATTATACCAAACGCTTATTCGGGTAAGTGCTTATCAAGTCATGTTACCTCACTGGATGAATATGTTAATGACCAAGAATCTTATCAGGTAAGATTAAAAATAATGACCAAGAGTCTTACCCGATAAGTGAAGACGATGACTCTTATCACGGTAAGCACTTACCAGGGTAAATTGTTGCATACGATGCTGTTTTGATGGACTAAATCCTTATCCGGTAAGTAAATAATAGTGTTAAATTTTACCGGTAAGCACTTACCGGGTAGGTGTTTGATAAACGGCCCCTAAATCACACTCGGCAGAAAACAGTTGAAACACAAATAATTTATCAATCAAGAAAGTGCTTAATATAAAGATCCATAGCTGAAGTGCCCAGAGAGCAATACAGAACAAATCCACAGAAGATGCATACAGATCTTATTTTCATAACAGATACCTGAATGTCAAGAAAGGAGGCAACATCAAGAATAGGAAATGCATTATTGTCATCAAAACCATGGTAAAATGAGTTACACCAAGAGCAATTGCAAAGTTTCGTTGTTCTGCTGTGAAGTTTTAAGTGTAAAAATATGGTCTTACGGGTCTCATGAAAACAGTCTAGTCTCACGTGAACCCAACCCTATATATATATATATATATATATATATATATCAATTTTAATTGAAGATCAACAGTAATGAAATGCAGATGATTAATTCCTATTTCAATGCAATTCATGGAGTAGGGGTGACATTAAAAGTGATCAATCCATATCTCTTTTTACGTTTATCACATTTACTCTTATTCTCATACGATCCTCCATCTATCTATATCTATATAGATAACGGCCAAATCAAATGTGATTTACGTTAAAATCACATGTGATCCACGCAACTTTGACATCAACCTAAGGTCACGGGCCAAATCACCCCCACACCCTTGAGTTGACCATGTTCCGTAAGGCTATATTTGTTATATGAGACATGACAAAACAAAACTTAAAGTCTCATGTTTGGCTTGTCATGGACAAAATAAAAACTCACTGTCCCATTTTTTGACGCTAGGGCCTAGGGGTGAGCAAAACTCGGCCAACCTGAATGCCCGACCCAACTTGACACGAAAAGCACAAAATACCCGACCCTGAAACCCGATACCTAAAATCCGTTATTTTTCGCGGGTAAGTAGGATAGAGTTGGGTATCTGGTTTCGGTCCCCGACCCGTCCGACTCTTACTTCGTCTTTCCCTTTATAAGTCATCAAATTTGGTCATTAGAAATCATAATTTTTCTCTCACGATCCGACTTCAAATTTCAGAACCCGCTTTTTCGACCAACACTTTTCTCCTCTCCATCAACGGCTTCAAATTTCAGAACCCACTTTTCAATTTCTTTCTCTCTCTAGCTCACTGTTGATTACCAATGATCTAATGGAGTACGAGAGGATACACAAGTTTCAGGTAACTTGCTTTATGCTGTTATTCTTGCTAATTTAACGTTGCAAATGTATGTATAATTAGTGTTTGCAGTCGACAAAATCACTTATTTTCTCTCTTCATTGTACGAATTATACACGCCACCAACAGATTGATTGATTGATTGATTAAGATATCTTCATTTAATTGTCTTTATTTTGGTGAGAATTTGTATTTTTTTTACTTTATTTTGGTGAGAATTGTCTTCATTGATTTGGTTGATTGATTGATTAAGATATCTTCATTTAATTGTCTTTATTTTGGTGAGAATTTGTATTTTTTTTACTTTATTTTGGTGAGAATTGTCTTCATTGATTTGGTTGATTGATTGATTAAGATATCTTCACCGTGCCTCTGTCAGTTCATAAGGATCTTCCAAACCAAATAAATCATAGTTTTTCCTTTATAAAAACTGGGGTTTTCAACTAGCATCAATTATATCAAATTTTTCATTCAAATTTGATACTATCATATATGTATGTATATAAAAATCGTGTAAACATTTGATAACTTAAATATTTATTTGGATTGTGTCATTTATAACTATTATACGATATATAAAATTATCAAGTGATTTTTAGGGGCAACTTGTCTAGTCTAGCCCTGGTTTTACCAAACACCAGACAGACAACTTGTCATGTTCCGTGCATCATATCTACATACCAAAAGCCACCTTCTCATTAGACAACTTGTCATGTTTCGTGCATCAATATTTAACTTAAAAGTACAAGTAAAAATCAACCATATTCATTAGATCATACGTCATCCACAATTCCAAATCGATAATTGGTAAATTAAAAATAAGATGCTTGAATTGAAAGAATCCTAAATTGGTAACTGCTACGAAGGTCAAGAGTTAACCGTCAAGACTTTGAGCTATCCAAACAGATAATTCATGACATGATTCATATTAAATTATAATCTTAAGTAAACTATAAGTATAATCAATGATAACTAATAATATTAAAACTTAAAAGACCTTGGTGATGTTTATTTTCTAAGAGGTGCTGAATTCTGAAATCTTATTTCACTTCTGGTTTAATAAGAAGTGGTGCTTAAATCTAAAATCTAAATCAACCAGACATTTTGTTTTTATAAACTGACAAACACCTGAATATGGATAAGGGTTACCACCTTTTTCCACTTTTTCCCTTTCATGCTATGCCACAGAAAGAAAACCCCCAATTCCAGTCCTACTATCAATGTTTCCCGATGCCCACCACCGTTGCCGCACGTGTCTAATGGTGAATCGGGGAAAAGCAGGAGGTGCTATGGTGAGAACCTTTAGTTGTACCGAAAAAGAGGACGCGATACTCATGCTACGGAAAATGGGTTCTAATAGAATGACGATGATAAGGCGGTGATGGTGGATGACGACCGCCACAAACGTCGACAACAACAATATTAAGAGTATTAAGCGAATACGAGGTATTAAGAGTTTAAGTTACCACTTTTTTATCCATACGATTTTGAAAGAAAAGAGGCGCCGGATGATGATGATAAATAAATACAGTTATATAAAAATACATACACATTATAACATTCATGCATTTATCAGTTTATAAAAATAAACAGTCTTAATAATTCAGTGTTTAGATTTCAACACCAGCTCTTGTTAACTAAAAATGAAATAACTCATATTAAAAACGAACACCGCCTTCCATACAAAAATCGTCCAATTGATTTGGACCACCAAAAAAACTGCTCAACCATGAACCAAAACGTGCAATTCTACACTTTTCGTACCGAAACGGACAGCTAAACCGATTAAACCGTAAAAAACAATCCACCGTATGGTAGTTTTACGGTCAATCGTTTTTTTTTTAATTACCTTTTAAAATATAAAAAAATATTATCAATAAACAAGATATAAAATGCTTTTATTAATATATATAAAAAAATATATTATTTAAAATAGAAAATGAGGATAATGATGGTCGCTGTTCTGCTTCCCCTTTTTGCTCTGCACATACTTCCAGATTGGAAGGCGGTTCGGGGCTGCAACGTACTATACCACCGCAAATCAAACAATTACACCAGATAATATTGACAATGATGCAACCAACCGGCGGTGGTGGTGGCGGTGGCGGTGGTGGTGGCGGTGGTGGTGGTGGTCTTGCCAGATTTCAGTCGGCTCCGGCTACTTGGTTAGAACAACTGCTAGAATCAGATGAAGATGTCATCATAGACCCCCCTAAACCGCCCTTGCTTCCGCATCATTCCATTGCAACCGCCAGTTCCGCCATCACCACCACCACCACTTTCGTTGATCCGAGTATGGCCGGAAGCGGGTTTCTTCGCCAAAACAGCTCTCCTGCGGAGTTCCTTTCTCAGATCAATAATTCCGATGGCTATTTCTCGAGTTACGGTATTCCGGCGAAGGCTAATTACGATGATTACCTTTCATCCAGAGACGTCAGTTTAGAAGACTCGCAAATCAAATTCACTACACAAATGGTGAGTTTATCAATTTGCAATCGGATTCCTACGATTAGAAAAACCGAATTGCATTATGCTTTCATGTATAATTATGAAGATTCATTTTAAAATCTCTTCGATTGAAATATTCTCATCTAGAGTGGAGATCAAAGTGCTTTGTTGGATGTTGAGATGGATAGGATTCTGGGGGATACTGTGCCGTGTAGGGTACGAGCAAAACGAGGGTTTGCTACTCATCCTCGCAGTATTGCCGAAAGGGTACTTTTCTCTGCTACTTTCATGGTGTTTCGTGTTGATTAATGGGAATTTTTATAAGATTTCTGGTTTTGGATCAGGTGAGGAGGACTCGGATTAGCGACAGAATTAGAAAGCTTCAAGATCTTGTGCCTAATATGGATAAGGTACATCTTTCATAGTGCTTTTCTTTGGTTTTCAATGTTGGAATAGTTTATGTCAAGTGTCAAGATCATGTCTCCATTCTATTTCTACCTATCCACTCATTTTCTACCCATCAAATCTTACTTTTTATATTTTCTGTTTATGATTTGACCTGATTTTGATATAAATAGATTTTTTATTTTTGATTTATGATTTGATCTGATTTTAATATAAATAAATTTAGGTACGACAACCTTTTAGGATACGATAGGATTGCATACCACTTTTGAGTGGGATTCATCGAGTTTATTTGGTTTGTCCGGATTTGGTTGGTATAGGGTTTGAAGAGACATGTCAAAATTGTACCTTCTGTAAGACCCTTTCTTAAAATATAATGCCACTTGGAGGATAGGGGTCGAGTTAGGGTGTTTGAGCTCGTTGGATTAAATAATAAGAAGATGCCCATAATTTTGACAACCATAAGCTAGCTTATTTTCCGAGTGCACAGGAAAACTTCGTCTGTTTAGTCGTAAGCCAACTTTCTGTAACACATTTGAAAAGTAGCGTTTCAATAAGCTCTAGGCCTTTCCCATTTTTCAATTATGTTGCTTATATGTTTTCAACTTTTCATGTAGTTTTTCAAAATATGTTCTTTTAACTCATTTTACATTGTCATGTAGCTTAATTATACTCCTTTTATGTTATCAACTAGTTTTTACCAGACATAACTAGCCCATGAACTAGTTTTTACGGGACATAACTAGCTTACCAACTAGATTATTTCATACATGAAAAGCTTATCGACAAGTTTATCAATCACGAGTTAGCTTATTATCTAGATTGCCAAACATAACGTATGTGTTTGTATCAACACTTTGTACGGTTGTACGGTATATTCAGATTCATAAGTAGGAAAGATTGTGTACGTATACGTGTGTGTATATATGACTAAAAGGAATGCTATTCAAGATCAAAATCTATATTTTTGTTACAAGTTTCCCGGCCTGAGTTTTCTACTTCTGATGCATATGAGTTGTTTCATGTTTGCGATGAATTTGGTCATTCTAGCTCGGGAAAACGACTTATGTTTGTTCCGTTAGCTTATAATTACTGAAAAAAAAGATTGAACCCCTAATGTATAATGGTTTTACGTGGCAGCAAACTAACACGGCCGACATGTTAGAAGAGGCGGTTGAGTATGTCAAGTTCCTGCAAAAACAGATCCAGGTATCTCTTCTCTGTCCACTTCTATTTTCACTCATTTTATTACCAAAAAATGGCAGGATCTTACCATTTATACGACCACTGGGTACAAACCCAACGTCTTACTGGTTAAGCGACCCCAATGTACTAAGTTTTAGAGAGAATATTGGTTGCTTTATACTCTTACAATATGCTTGATAACCTACAAAACGGCAGGATATTACCTATTCTATTACCACGGGATAGCAAATCCAGTGTCTTACCTGTTTGAGCTACCCCAACATACTAAGTTATAAAGAGAATCTTGGTTGCTTTATGGTATGCGTTATAACCTACAAATGGCAGGATCTTACCGATTTTTTTGCCAACCTGATGTCTTACCAGTTAAGCTACCCCAACATGATAAGGATTCGTTTGTTAGCGGCTTAATGGGACTCGCAGCTTATTCAGCTAACTATACATGATTGTTTGATAGTGGTTTAATGATATAGAAAGTGGTTTATTCAGCAAGCTTTTAGAAGGGGGATTTATGCACAAAGCCAAGTTCTTACCAAATCTGCCCCACCCAATTAAAAACATGCTCTTTTCATCTACGAAAAACATTCTCAAACAAAAACTCTCAATTTATACGAACATATTAATCCATATATACAAACAACTTTATCCATACAAAGGCTTAATGAAAAGCCAACCAAACAGCCCTTAAGTTGTAAAGAGAATCTTGGTCACTTTATACTCCTACGATATGCTTTATAACCTATAAACGGCAGGATCTTTACCAGTCGAGCTACCCTCAGCGAAATAAGTTCTAGAGAGAAACTTGGTTGCTTTATACTCTTAGGAGATGCATGGTTTATAACCTAAAAATGGCAGGATCTTACGGACCATCGAAACAGATGCACGTGCTTGGTTAAGGAACAAGGGAAAGGCTAGGCGACAATGCTGCCGAATCGTACCATGTTTTAAGTTTTGATATGGTTTCGGATGGAGTAATCAATCACGGGTCTCCGATCTCCAAGATCTTCAAACAACACTGCGTCTTCCAACATCTATCGGAGATCAAGTTCTTTTGATGTGGAGGAGCGGTAGTCTGCTTGCTGCTGGTACGATTGTAGCTTAAGTTTTCAGCTTTAGTTTCTTTTAGAATGCACTAGTAACGTGTAGTTATAAATCTATATACAAACCAATCCCTTTTATACCCACCGGTTACCTAATGAATGGAAATTCAAAACTGGTGATGAGAGTGTAAAATCATATTGTAGTGGCAAACAATATAAAGTGTACACTTTATGTAACGACATATATATATACATGGACTATAGTATAGTTGTGGTTAACTTTATCATCTGTTCTTTTTCTATTGATCACACTCCACGGGTGTACTGCCTTTTGGGGTAGAGGTTAGGTTTGCGTAGGTAAAATACATTGGGTTCGTTTGGTTTGCTGACCGTTTTTCGAGAGTTAAAACAACTGGTGAAAATATATGAAACGGTTTTGAATCTTTACCTAAAAGAATAGTTCTGTATGCGGAGGAAATTCAATGATTTGTTTTGAACTGCCACACTGACGTGGTATTCCGATGTAGTTCCATAAAGAAACCAACCGAGATGCGAGATCTTACACGATGAGACTCGTTGAAGAGTTAAAAACCCGATGAGAACGGTAAAAATACATAGAACCTTCTTGATTATTTCTTCCCAAGAGGGGTAAAGTTTCTAAATGTACCAAGGAGATGATGTATTCCAACGTATTCCATTAAGAAACCAAATGGGATGCGGAATCTTACATAATCACTCAACAAAATACTAATCGACAACTATAACAAAGCACACCGACTGCTATATCTTGCAGTGCAAAACAAAAAGAAACGAAGTTGATGACCAGAGACCATGAACCCACGTTTAGTCATCTACGTGTTCCAAGCTTAGACCCACCAACGATTGGTGGGTATTAGCAACCTAGTCTGGTGGGTGCAGATCAGCTAGTCATATCTAGCATGAAGCAGCTGGCCTATGTAGGCCATATGCCATGTCAGCACCACTAATGTCGACACGTTCAGTGTCGACGAGTATATATTCAACTTCTTTAGCATCTCTTCTTTCTCTCTTACCCTTTTTCTATCTTTCTCCTTTATCTTATTTCTCTCCACCATCAACTGCAACAAAAACCCATGTTAGCATCGTTAATTATAACAATACTGGATTAGAAGGATATTAAAACGGTGCGTGGACTCTGGTCCAGAATATTGTGAGACAGTTCTGTCCATATCTCGTGTAGGCATTAAAGCATTAAGAGGGCATTTTCCTAGTATGAGAGGATCGGAAAGGACACACCTCTCAAGTTAATAGGACCACATAACCTTATGTGCCATGTAAAAGTGTTGCAGTAAATTTATAGGACGTTTTTTTACTTCTTAACGAGTTTTTTAAATACATTTTTGACAAATATATAAAGCGTCGTATAAATACGTTTTGAATAGAATAACCCGGTTGAAGAGTATTGATCATGGTAGTGCATTGTCTAATGAGAACGACGCATCTCTTAACAATAAAAGATCCTTTTTGCAGCAAAAAGTGTTATAAATATACAAGCGATCTTATACAAAGATTTGTTTAAAGTGTCATATAAAAAGAACTAATATCACACGTTTATTTTGAAAGTACCCTAAAATACTTGTTATTAGAACACCCAAAACAAGTCCTATAAACTTATTGTAGCCCTTTTACACGAGAGGCATGGCAAGAACCTAAAATCTTATCTGGTAAATGTGGGAGAAAGACTTGCTTGATAAACGCTAAAAACTCTTACCAATAATGCATTTTGACAGCCAAGAATGTTAATGGAGCCATTTAACGAACATTTACCAGATAAGCATTTATCACCAAGATCAATAATGCATTTTGACAGCCAAGAATGTTAATGGAGCCATTTAACGAACATTTACCAGATAAGCATTTATCACCAAGATCAATAATGCATTTTGACAGCCAAGAATGTTAATGGAGCCATTTAACGAACATTTACCAGATAAGCATTTATCACCAAGATCGCCACCTTCACTTACCTTATCTGGTAACATCCTCGAAATCAAAACAAATTATTGGTAAACATTTTCTTACCGGGTAGAAATCTTCTCCCCAATTAGCAAGCATGCATCTTACCAAGTAATATTCTATGTCCTTTCAATGCTCACCCAGTAGCATTTATCTGGTGTAACTGTTTGGTAAACGACCCTTGTGACTCCTACTGATAAAACGCTTACACGGTAAACATTTGTTAAACGAAACCTAATAAAACCCCTTTTTATGCATCAAAAGACCAAGAAACTTGAAGGATTTCTTTACCTTAGTTGCTCTAGGCTCCAAGAAGATGAGGTTGATCAAGATCATAAAAAGTGCTGATAGAAGATTGAATCCCTGAAACATCTCCATCTTATTCCAAACAGCAATCCCTTTCCTTCCTTGGCTAACCAGATACCCAATCAGACCTCCACCAACACAATAAGCCATTGCCCTAAAATACACCCTATACATCTTGTTCACCACCATCCCGAACTCTCGTTTCGGCAAACACTTCCCCAAAACGCAGCTCGAAACGAACGTAAACCACACCCCCATCCCATATGCCGTCGAAAACCCCAACAAATGACACCAACTGATCACTGCTTTGATCTTCTCCAATGGAAACATCAAGAAAAAGAGGTTTTTCGACCCCCGTAGAAGCTCGTTTAGACTCGTTTCTTTCAATTCTTCGGTCCCTTGTTCGATTTTTTGGCTAACGTTTCGTTCTATATCTTCTCCGATTCGTTTTGGTGAATCGATGACATCCCAGTCTTCCAATTTGACGACGGAGTCTTTGAGTGCACCGCCGATTCGGGATCCCAGTGCTTCGCCTACGGCTTCTTTTGCATGTCCGGCGACTTCTTTGGATTTTTCTCCGACCGACGTAACTCCGTGGGATAGTGTTTCTGATAATTCATTGCCCGCGACGTTCTTGACCGTTTCTCCGACCGATTTAACTCCGTCGGATAGCTTTTCGGATAGTTTTCCGGTGGGATCGCCGACTTTCTCCACTGCTTCATCCATGGCTTCTTTAGCATGTTCTTTCAGTTCGTTGGCTTTACCCGAAACCACGGTTTTCAACTTCTTGAATACGGTCGCGAGCTTATCTATGCACTTGCTGAAAAGCTCTTTCAGACCCGTAGTGAACCCACCATCTTCCACCACCGGCCGCCTCCCACGATCACCACCACCAACGGCGGCACCGGAATCGTCGTGCTGTGAAATCAACACTTTGGTGTTCCCTTGACGACGTTCTCGGAATTCAATAACCACCACTCTATGAGGTTCTTTTACAGCCACTTGGTGACGATGGTGATGACGTGGAGAAGACGACCACATCGCTCCGGCAACCACCACCGAGGACGTCAGTAGCAGAAAAAGAAACCCAATTTTCATCGTCTTAATCATCATCTTAATCATTAATCAATCAAATATCTCACTCTCGATCTCACACCCGTGGTCTTGAATTACGGTTTTTGATTCAGACACCAGAAAACCAGACAGATCGATCGTCGGTCGGTTGTCATGGCTTTTAAAGATACGGATAAAGATCGCACGTAGGTTCTTGACGGTTGAGTAACTGGACACGTGTTCTTCTGCATGCATGATACGTGTAATCACCATGTCTGAGTTTTAAAAACCCTAATTAACCGGAAGCAGCGTATGCATATATGGATCCATATTGGTCGACTGGAATCCAGAAATTCATGGTTTTGTTGGATATTTTTTTTCGATCTGGTGCTGATTCTGATAAGTTTTGCCTTGAAAAACGTGTTGGTAAAAATATTTGAGATCTTTATTGGGTCCATTGCTTTAGCAGCTTGCGGACTACTTCCATGGCCGCGCTGCCGCCCACGGCCCACCAACGTCGTGCCCCACGATTTCCGGTTGAAGAGATTTGATAACTTTTTTGAGTCATTTTGATCAGATACAATGAACTTGCGGATCAGATACAGTGAACTTGCGGATCAGATACAGGGTTCTCACTATAACTTTTTCGTCAAAAGATTGAAGGTCAACACTAACAAGGTATACCGAAATGCACCGGATCAATTCACTTTTAAAGCGTCATTCATGGATGAGCATGAAACTAAAAGTTACCGATGGTTCGAATCTCTTTTTATGCTTCTCATCATAACTTTCCTTCTCATAATCCTTCGCATATATATACACACACACACGGACAGTACGGCCAACTAGAAAAGCGAGTTTGTACTACCATTTTAAAGTAATGGACGGGTCTGGACTGACTTGTTAAAATTAACAGGCGGCATGGGTGCTGTAAAAAATTAATTTTACAGGCATACTTGGCTTGTTAAAAAATTTATAATTAAAATTGAAAATTCTATATGCTTATCAATTTCCACTTAGTGATAATTATGACTCATGATAATAAAGCCTTTAAAGGTCTAAAAACACAACTACCTCACTTGGTCAAATTTCCCATTATGTCATTTGGTCATATCCTTTGTTAATATTCCATATTTTGAATTATTTTACATATCTAGATATCCAACCCGCAATGCGAGCCGACTAATCCCAGTGCGAGCCGACTAATTTGCAGATAGCCCGGAGTCACCGTATTTGAACCTTCGTGGCCACAAGGGGATTTTTATTCCTCATTGGATTTGAACTTGTGACCTCCTGATACTTTTGACATTTGGAGCCAAGCTCAAACCAATCAGACATCACTCTTATGGTTTAGTTTTGTTTTCTTAAAGGGGCTCGAGTGTTTTCAAACTTGAAAAAAGGGGCTTGAGTTTGCTGCATCAGGCTCGTTGAACAAGAAAATAGGTTAGACCCGATGCAAACTCACACATGATCAACTCTATTCTTTTTACGAAGAAAAGGGAGAATAAGGAAAGGAAATGAGAGTGAAAGAGAAAATCTAGTGTTCTCGAGTTCTTTTAGAAGGGAAAAAAAAGGAAAATGAAAATGATTTTCCTTCCAAAACTCTCCTTTCCAAGTACATATGGTGAAATGGCCCCCCTGGATCGGGACTGACGGTGGACCTGGCCTGGTTCGGGACTGATTGGAATTAGGACCAGCCTGACGGTCCTTAACTGGTTACGAATTTTCACGCCCGACCTGGCCCGGTACCAGTAATATGTAGGCTCGATTTTTAGAAAAAATTAAGTTTTATAAATTATATTTCAAGTTTTTCAATATTCTACAACATTTTCAAGTTTTTTAATCCAAAAACTTCCAAATTTTTTTAAGTTTTTTATGACGTTTTTCAAGTTTTTGTAAGTGTTCCAGTACTAAATATAAAAAATGGTAACTATAAAAATATTTATCACATTTTCGTATAAACAGATTTAAAAAATATTTTTAAAGTGTATTTCAATGACCCAATTAAGGATTTTAAAGTGTATTTTAATAAGTTATTGTTCAAAAAGAAAAATCTTTAATTTTTTATGTTCAAAATTGAGTTTTAGAAAAGAAAAAAAATGGACCCGTTTAGGTTCCGCTTTTGGGCTCGGCTTGGGACCAGGACAGGTTCTCATCACCGGTTATGAATAACCTTAACTAGCCCTTGGGTGTTTGGTCGGGACCGGTTACGGGAATAATATCTTGGAACGAGACCGGGATCGATTTGGGCCCATTGGCTTAACATATTGTAACATGTTGTAGATCTGAAAAGAACGACTAATTTAAAATTTTCGTTAATACAATAAATAAAGGGTAAATCTTTTTTTTATTTATTAATCAATACTTGAATTACCTCGAATATCAAATCTAAAATCATCATCAATAAAAAGGTAGACAAAGCCTTACACATAAACTAAAATAAGGTCAGGTGTTACTATAACCCACGAACAGTTGCTATCTCCAAAGGCGGAAGACATCGACAATCAGCTAAAATCTTATCGTGAAACTATCTAGCACTCATCTCATCACGGTATCGCTAGTACCATCCCGTGACGACAAAGGAAAAAAGGTTACGATAAATGCCTAGTGGGTTCAAGCAGTTTTCATCATAATTATAAGACGGTAAAACTGAAAGACTGCTGATTAAAATTATAATTTTACAATTGAAATATATTTATCGTAAAAACAATATCTTTCCGAAAATCCACCATTTTTCTTGATGAAAACCCATAAATCAAGATATTCAATTACATAGCCGAAATCCAACACTCACACGATTGGGACCGTTGGTTATGGTTTTCATTCAAAACCAAGGCCCGATCGGCCAGCCCGGGACCGATTTGGGACCAGTTATAGGCCTGGCTCGAGATCGGCCTGATTTTTTTTCAAGAAAATGTATTTTTATACGTATTTTTAGCTTTTTAAGTGTATTTGATTGAAAATCAAATTACAAATTTACAATAAAACATACTTTTTAAGTGTTTAATTGAAAACCATTTATAAAATTATAATAAAACTTAATTTTTAAGTGTATTGAAAACCAATTATAAAACTACAATAAAACATATTTTTTAAGTGAATTTGATTGACATAATTAGATATTTTAAAGTTTATTAGAATAATATTAAAGTATTTTTAAAAATTTATAAAAAAAAGTTTAAAAAATATAAAAAAGATTTTTTTTAATATATAACCGGTTTGGGCCCGACCTAGGACCGGTTATCGACTTACTGTAACCGGTTACAAGTAACCTTAACTAGGCTTTAATATTTTTCGATGGGACCGGGACCAGTCCAGATTGTTACTGTTTAGGCCCGGGACCGATTTGGGTCCAACCCGACCCAGCTCAAGACCGGTTTTTGACCATCTCTAAAGTAAACATAATAAGCATTTTACTTTTCCATTTTAAATTTTTTTTTTTTTTACTTTTTTAATAAACAGACTATTAATTTTTTTATTTTGAATGATTAAAATTTATAATTTTTTCACTAAATAAATAAACTATCTAATTTTTAGACATTAGTTGCCTACAAAGAACCATTTCCTCAGTTTTTATTTATTTTTATTTTAAAATAAGTGTTTATTTTTTTAAAATAAATAATAAAATTCTTAATTTTATCCTTAATTAATATATAAATATTTAAAAGTTGTAAAGAGAGAGAAATTAAATAAGGATGAATATGTCATTTGATTAACAAAATAATAATAATAATTATATATGCATAAAACTTTGTGCAATTTCAGTTGCGAACACTTATTTTGGGATAAATGAAGTATTAACTAAAAAACTATTTATAACCGCTTTTAAATGGTTTAAAGTAAAAAAAAAAAACATAAATCAATTTCACTGCTTCCAATACGTTTACCAAACACTTACCCGGGTAAGTGTTTACCAAGTCATGTTACCTCACCGGATGAAYRTGGTAAGGACCAAAAATCTTACCCGGTAAGAGCGAGACAATGACCATGAATCTTACCCGGTAAGTGAGGGCGACGACTCTCACCACAGTAAGTATTTACCGGGTAAAGTGTTGCATAGGATGTCATTTTGGTGGACTAAATTCTCATCTGCTACGTAAATAATAGTGTAAAATTTTACCGATAAACACTTACCGGGTAGGTGTTTAATAACCGGGACCTTAGAAAACATATTACTACTTTTAAAGATGGGTATTCATTTTGAAACAAAACCAAAAAAAAAATACACCTTTATGTAGGTCTTTTATCAAACATTACCCCGTAAGTGCTTACCAGCAGTAATCATTACCATCCTTATTTACCTGATCAAGTAACATTCTCAACCATCAAAATAGATTGTTAGTATTTTGGTAAGTGTCTTTTACCTGGTTATTGTTTACCGGGTAAGAGTCCTCTTCCTCCCTTACTGTAAGATTTTCTATCATTATCATGTTCGCCTAGTAAGATAAATGGAACTCATAAACACCTACTTGGTAAGAGTTTAATAAACAGTCCCTTTATTTTGAGACGAAAGGAGAACTCTTCAAACCTACCAAACCGTCTCCCACAATCCAACTATCACCACCGCTGTATTTCATGTTATGTATCCTTCAATGGTTCCACATACGGGTTCGCTTGTATCTGAAGAAGCGGAGCCATAAAATTTATCTAGGGGTGTCTAGAAACAAATGTAAGAAAATTAACGATTTTAAGGTTAAAAAACCCTTTTAAGTGTGTGTGTGTGTGTGTGTGTGTGTATATATATATATATATATATATATATATATA